TTCAGAGAAGGGAGCGGTGATATTTAAGATCGGAAGGCGACAAATTAGAGTTTTACAAACGATTTTTTTATGCAAAACTTACAACAGTTGGAAAGAAGCTTTCGACATCACATGAATATAGTAAGAAAGGCTGAAAGGGTGAAGATTATTCTGAACGTTTCCCAGATGCAGCATATTCTGGCGATTTTTGGCGCAAAATTACTGTGCGGATCTGCAGAAGTCGAACAGTTACAAACTAATGAATTGTGCCAAAACCACAACAGATTGAACAACGTTTAATATAGAAACACATGCTCTACATGCTCATAGAAAACTTATCTTCGGCACAATTTTTGCTAATTTTTGGCAAATTTCTGAAATTTACTTTGAGACCCCAAGATCGGATGGCGACCATCAGACTTCCACAATAAATCTCTGTCTGATGTGAAAGTTTCTCTGATCATTTTTTGGCGATTATGGCCAATTTTTAAATAAGCCTTTACACCGCATATGAATTCGGCGCGGATCTACAGGAGTCGGACATTTACATACTAATCAATTGTGCCAAAACCGCAACAGATGGAAAAACGTTTTTGTTACCGTTTAATAGACAAAAAGAAACTCTAAATCCTCATAGAAAATTTATCTGTGCCACATTTTTGCTAATTTTTGGCAATTTTTTTAAATTTTGATTAAAATCTTAATCAGACTTCCACAAACGATTTTTTTGTACACAAAGTACACTAGGCAAAAAGCTTCTAACACCAAAGCATAGATTAATGAAGACGCACTGAACAGTTGCCAGATGCAGCGTTTTCGGGCGAATTTTTGCAAATTTTTTAAAATAGCCCCGCACCTCAAGTGCATTTAAAGCGCGGAGCCGAAGTTAGATATCAGCAAACTAATTCATTGTTGGAAACCCTGCTCTGCATGCCCAGAAAAACTCGTCCGCGCCACGTTTTCTGGTTATTTTTGCAACATTTCGCCATTAAATAGTTCGGATCATGTGCCCCCTGTAACAACACCCAGGAGTTTCTTTGAATTTGGCGCTGCAGTGGAAGCGAGACGCACACAGCAAATGACGTCAAAATCGGCCTGTCCTTGTCGCACCATTGCGATATACCTGGGCGATGTAATGCGTTTTTCGACTTGAATTCTCAACTAGCGAAACTATCGTTTTGTTAGTTGAGCTTTTTGATGTAAGGAAGTTGTTTTTTTCAAGAGTTCCACTGAAACCCGACATTTGCGAGCAAATTTTTAACATCGAAGTTCCCCGCATTGCAAGCTCATGCATATGCCCAATTCGACCAAGTGTTCATTGCAGATGCCTAATTCCATTCATAGAGGCTTCACACTTGCACAACACAGCTGTGCACTGTTGTATGGCGACGCTGTTTGGGGGCTACCGTGAGACCAGGCGTCGCCATAGGGGTTTATTTGGTAATTGAAATTAAAAACACCCTTTTCGGGTTGCACACGTGAGAAAGTTTACGCGATGTTGCGGCCGATCCAAAAATACACGCCGCCTCCAAACAATCCAGAGCCATTTCTCTTGTTGCCCAAAATGCCTTATTTATAGTTGGGGAGTGTTGCGTTGGCGCGTCTTGGAGCTAAAACCGTCCAAACACCTGCTTGGTGTCCTCAAATTGATCGAGAAGAAGCAGTTGGCCGGTCTCGAGGCACTGGGAAGTCGATTTTTGAAAAAATCAAAAATTTTAATCCGTCTAAACTCAACAGGGCTCGAGGAATTCACTGATGTTTTTTTCAAAATCTTTCCATGGTTTAAGGAGCTGATGATTTTCGAGTTATCAGGACGTCGCCGATAGGAGTTTGGACCTGACGTTTCTCTAGCATGCATGGTTTGCAGGTTCAGAGTTGTGTGCAAGATTCCTTTGATTCCTCAAATTTTTTTTTATACAAACTTCTTGTTGGGTATTTTGCCTCAAACATTTTTGTCTTTAAAAAAGACAGAATTTCCTCACGTCTTCTATTACAGATTGATAAATAGTGTTTCTATTTCGCAATAAGAACGAATTATTTATAAAAAAGTAATCAAGAACTATCACCTAGAGGGTATCCTGCGACACACTTAGGCTCAAGCTGTAAGAGAAAATTGCAATTAGAAAATAAATTAATTTGAAAAATTACCTTGATGTTTCGATAGCTATTTTCTGCTATCGTTATCAAAAGAACCTAAATGAACCTAAAAAAGAGTATTTTAATAAATTGTGTAACCATAGTAGATAATACAGTACATGAAAATTCGCTCTGATAATTCGTCTGTGCAAATTGTCAGTTATGTGACTTTGACTTAATCTCATTGTTTAAATTAATAAAGGTAATGTTAATT